TTTTTTTTTTTTAACTAGAAAAAACCCACCACAGCCCTTGTGGGTGCAGACACAGACCCTGATCCCTTCCCAGCTGTTGAAGCTCTCCCAAGCTTTCCGTGCAAAAGGAAAAGGGGGGGTTGGTGTTTTTAATGCAATTACCTCTGATATTGTTGTTTTAATTTTGCAGAGTGCTTTAAATCCCTCAGAGCAGCTGCCAGGCCTGGCCTGGAATGCCCCGGAGCAGGGGCTGAGCTTGGCACAGGGCACTTTGCATGAGGCATTCCCAGAATCATGGAATTGGTTTTTTTTGGGAAGCAGGGTATGGTTAAAAACAAATCCCCAGCGTTTTCAGTGTGGATCCATGTGCCAGGAGGCTCTGCATTGTGTTGTGGCAGGTTTGGAACAGAGCAGGACATGGCTGCAGGGCTGTGGTAATGCCACCCCTCAGGGTGGGCATCTACAGCAGGGAAAGGCACTTGTGTGAGGGGGAAAAAGGAAAAAAAATGTACCAAAAAGCAGGTCAAGAGAGAAGTGGTGGGGACAGAACGCGCTCGAACCCCAGGGAAGGTGTGACTTTACAGAAAACCCCTCAGGTGACATCCAGAAATGAATTATATCTCTTTATTATTAAATAATTAACACTCTACTGATTCAGAAATCCCGCAGCAGCTTGAGCTGGAATGGGAATGGGGGGCAGCCCCCCCGCCCCCAGACTGTACCCTGATTAGCAGAGATTTCATGGAAGAACAAACACGGTCTGCAGCAGCTCGGGATTGTGGCCAAGGGAACAGTGGCTGGGGAGGAGAGACCTCGGATGCTCAGTCCAGTGGGAGCTGGAAAACTTGCTCCAGACTCCTGGCATTCCCAGCTCCTGCTCCCTAGAACCAGCCCCAGCAAGGGGCTCCGGGATGGACAGCTGGGAAGGAGGCAGATCCAAACGGCCAACTGCAGACACGGAGCTCGCTGAACGTGCTGGCACGAGCGCCCTGCCACTTGCTGGTGACATTTATGGCTGGACATCATCAAGTGATGTGCTGAGGGGTGGCAGGAGCACCGTCCTACTTGTCCTTTGCATCCAGCTGAAAACAGGGAGACCACAGCGTTTGCCAGGGAGCATCAAACATTCCAGCTCCAAGCACCATCCCCGCAGCTTTCACAGAATCCCAGGATGGTTTGGGTTGGAAGGGACCTTAAAGCTCATCTCGTTCCACCCCCTGCCATGGGCCGGGACACCTTCCACTAGACCAGATTGCTCCAAGCCCTGTCCAGCCTGGCCTTAGTTTTCCTGCTTTATCAGCATTATCCATCAGGGATTCAGAGCAGCACAAGAATCAAGCCAAGGGCTGGCTGGACCCCAGAACATTTGTACCAAAAAATCAGAAACCTGGCCAAAAGATTTAAGAATTCCTACTCAGTTCCTGCCTCATGATCTGATGAAAATAAGAACAACCTGGATATAAAAACTGGAATCTTGGAGCCAGATTTTATGAAGAAGTCACACATGGGCAGTGTATCCCTAAAAAATACAACTGTTTGATGTCAAATGTGGAAAAACCTTCCCAGTGGTCTACAGCAATGCAGTAATTAACAGCAGCACTGAGCTCTAATAATTAAGGACTTGTTCCCCTGCAATTTCTCACTCCTGAAGATCCCAGAAGTTTACAGATGTGAGAATGGCACAGGGAAAGAAATGATCAAAGGCGAAATCCTGCCCTTTTCCACATTCCTGTTTCATCTGGGACTGGCAGATCTGCATCTGCCCATCTACCACGGACACGTTCAGCCCACAGCGCTCTGCTCTGGCACCCTGGCTGTGAAACAGCACTCAGGTTTGGGTTGGTTTGGGGTTTTTTAGCCCTGCTGCAGTCCTTCCCCGTGGAGGCAGACAGCAGGCAGCCTCAGCAAGCACAGACCCACTCCCGGGATAACTCCGGCACAGGGAACGCAAAGGCTGAGGGGGGAGCTGGGGCTCGGAGCCCCTTCCCACCTTCTCTCTCTCCTTCTGGATCAGCGTTTGCATCTCGTCGTTCCAGCCCAGCAGCTCCACCAGCTTCTCGACGCCCCCGACCACGTCCCCGAGCTGGGCCACGTCGTTGTGGCGCTGCTGCCACGCGAAGGGGCCCACGAGCTCCCGGTTGATGAGGACCCGGGGCACGGAGCTGCGCACGGCTCCGGCCAGGCTGGCAAAGGGCTCCACCTGAGGGGGGAACCGGGAGGGCAGGGGGACCGTCACCCTGCCACAGCCACCAGTTCCAGGCTCAGAACTGCTGAGTGTGACCGTTCCCCCGCTGTGGGCTCAGCCACCCCGGCTCTCCGTGGGTCACGGTGTCACCCGGTGGCCTTTCCTGAGGTGACCCCGAGGCTCTCCAGGTGCCCTCCTGGTTTCTAGAGGGTCTCTCAGAGCACCTGCACCCTATTTCTTACCCTCCACCTCAAATTTCACCTCCCTAAACCCAGTTCCTCGCCTTCTCCTCTAAGCCCTCTCTCCCCTCTGGAGCCCCTGTTTTCTGAGCGCCCTTTTCCCCCGGGGGCTCCCCTTATTCCCAGACCTCCAGGGACGTCCCGATGACGAAGAGCAGGTCTGCCAGGGGGAAGTCTGCCAGGTGCAGGAGGAAGCGCTGCGGGAGCTCCTCGCCGAAGAACACGATGTCAGGCTTGACAACTCCGGTGCACACGGGGCAGCGAGGGACCCTGTCCCCCATGACATCCCCCTGAAAGGAGAGACCCCAAAATTGCTCATCACAGGGACCCTGTCCCCCATGACATCCCTCTGAAAGGAGAGACCCCAGAACTGCCTGTCACGGGGACCCTGTCCCCCATGACATCCCCCTGAAAGGAGAGACCCCAAAA